TATTTATTTTAATTGTGGAATGTTTAAATTCTATTATTATGATATGCTTGTTTATATATCTATTATAATAACAAATAATAAAGTATTCTCCTATAAATATTTGAAATATGTACAATTACTTATATAAAAAATTACCAAATAAGTTTACCTTATTGCATCTACCCAACATTTTTTTCTGTTATCTCGTGTGCGTAGAAAGAAATTCCAATTTGTTCGGTTCTTTATTTTCTCCAAATTTCAACATTAGTTTCTGTTTATTTTATTTATTTATATTAATCCATTGATCCATTTATCGTACTCTAATGGATCAATCATTATCTTGACATACGGGATTAAAAATATTAAGCCTGCAAATTAATCAAATCAAATCAAATCATATGAAATTTTGTTATTTACTATTTGTGCGTAGAGACAGAATAAATACTTTCACAAACACACTGATATATATGTATATATATATATATATATATATATATATAAAATATATATAAAAATATATATTTTAACACATTGTTGAAACTTTATCCTAGGGCTTTATATTATTAGGCAATGTTATAGTTGATTTAAATGTATGTATAATTTGTATAATTTGTATTATATATTATATATATATATATATATATATTATATATATAATATTATATACATATATTACATATTTATCATATTAAACTATTTAATTACATTCTTATCTTTTGTGTAATTTACTAATAATCCCTTTTTATGGTTTTCGTTCAATCGTACCGCCTTTGATAAAATAAAGTAGAATTTAGTAATGTTCTATTTATAATTATTTATAGTTATTTTCTTAATCCCTAGATCATTTCACAAAGTTCAACAATGCACTCCAATATCATTAATATATAAATATAATACATACTTTATATATATATATATATATATATATATATATATATATATTCACTAGTCATTCGTTAGGAATTTCAGGTTTTTCTGTTTCCGAATTTTCAGGAAATTTTACAGGGGGTCACTTGGCTACTATTTTTCGACCTTCAAATGAACGTATTTCAAAAATAAATTAATTACATTGAACTTGATAAATAAATAAATTTATAAATAAATTATCAATTATAATAAATAATCAATTTTATTTATGTCAAAAATAATTATTTCACATGTATTACGTTCTTCTTATATATCACATTTTTCGTTATTCTTACGGTTGACGAAAGACAATAAAAGATTTTACATTGAATTTAGCAAGAAACAAAATAATAAAAAAACTTTGAAAATCAAATATAAAACCTTTTCTACTAAAATTAGAATTATATAGAGCAAGGTTTCTTAAACTTTTGTCGTCGGGACTCCATTTATGACTGCGAGTTTCCTGGCTACCCCACAGATATAAAAAAAATAATTAATATTTTTAAATAATTTATAAATTTATTTATAGTTCAAGGATTCGTTGAATACATACAAAACATCATACATATAAAAATCGACCCCATTTGGAGTCGCGACCCATAGTTTAAGAAGCCCTGATATAGAGGTCTCCAGGACGTACCGGTTGTGCTACACAACCCCTTACAGGTATATAGTAAAAATACAAGTGCCGATGATGGCAAAAATCAAAAGGCTTAAATTAAATTACAATCATGTTTACCTTACTATCAGTTCGACCCTGTGTGTGACAGATTTTTTTCCTACAATCACGACTGCAAGGAGATTATCAATTAATCCCTAAAGAACACTGAATTACATTTTGTTTCGTTGTAAAGCAAAAAAAATCAATGACGATAATAATAAATTTCCGATAAGAACAAGACCAATCGGTTGCTCTTTAGGCTTTGATCATAAACGTTTTAGAATCGTCATTGATAAAAGGTCGAAACTTGAATAGAACTTAATTCTGGTACTACTTTCAGTAATCCTGATAACTTAAAATCTGGTGAGTTGTAATCTACCTTGGTCTAAGTGCTTATTTGTTTCTTTCGAAATGAACAAGATATTGCTCTGGTTCATCCTGGCGTTGTCAGGTGTCCTGGTTAACGCATATGCTGTGACATATAATGAAACTGCGCATCCTGATACGTTGCCTGTTAAATCGTTCAAGGAGATCTACGATGGCTTGGAAAGCGATGGTGAGTACATGAGTTGTTAAGGTACGGGACTTTTGATATTAGACAATATAATTTATTTGAATATGAATATGAATATGAATATGATTAAATCGCATTATTCATATCAAGTAAAGATGTTTAAAAGTTACAAAAGATATAAGCCCAAAATACGACTTCCACCTTAATCGGCATTCTTGTACTTTCTAAAGCAAATTTAAGGTAGGAAGAGTGGCTGTAGATCGCTATAAAATTACTCATTCTTGCAGATAATTAAATTTTATACAATTTGGCTAAACTCATCACTCATGTCAACTGAGTAGTTTAAAAGTTACAATAACAATATTAAAAAAATCCACAAATTATGATAATTTCTTTAGTTCATTTGCTAGTGCGTTTCAAAGTATACCGCAGCAGTTTATTTAAGCATTGTACTATTGACTTTGCATAGATAATTTAATTTTGTGTTTTTGGCATTTTCGAAAAACAACATTCAGATCAACAGAATGATTAAAAGTTGGTAGAGATTTAATAAAAATACATCATACCTTTACCGTCTCTAGAAGAACGCTCCTACTTCCTTCTGTTCGAGTTGGCACGCGGCTTCAGCATTATGGAAAGCAAATTTCCTTTGGGATTCTATCCCATAACAAGGGCCAGATGTCACACTGGACTTAGAGTCCCCGACGACCTCGACATACCTAAGGAATTATCCGATAAATTTTTGGTAAGAAAAAAAAAACTATATTGCACTTTTCGAGTTTGCCTATTGAAGATACTTATCTAATTATCTAGGCCTTTGGCGTATCAGAAAGCGAATCTGAGTCTCTCTACCGTTGGGTGGCCAACAGTTTCAAGATTCACGTAGAGCGCCGCGTCAAGTTGCGCCAGAACGTCGTCTGCTTCCCCAACGGCGCCTGCATAGACCTGGACGACGTGGGCAGCCACTGTTGCCCCTTCTGAAAATGGAAATTGAATTATTTTTTAATATAATCGAATTTATATCAACAGCAGAAAGGGTTCGTGAAACTAGTGGTAAGCCTTGAGAGGAAAATATTGAATTTATTTGTAATGATAATTGAATATGTATATATTATAATAAACATGTTGAAACCCTGATTGGTTTATTTTGATTTATAAATATTTTATCTTCAATTATAACTCTTCAGGTATAACTTCTGATAAGTTCTGGCAAATATGAAATTGAATATTGATCTAGGTTACAATAAAAGGACTCTACTAACGACCTGAATCAATTTCTGCATGAATATGAACTATAAGACTATGAAAATAAGGTGACTATTCGTCCCGGTTAGGCCGGGACAGTCCAGCATTTCCACCTTGTGACTCGAGTTTATCTAAAAGAAATATTTGCCCCGGATTTAGATCTTTTGTCCCGGATTGTCCCGGATTTTCGGAAAATATAGGTCTAAATTAAATCTTTGCTTTTATACTATACTTGACAACAAATTTACAATTGCCCATCAAATATTTGAAAATGTTATTTACTATTAGTATGCTTATATAAGAAGGCAAGTTAAAAGAGACTCTCATATTCATAATTTTGAACTTCTATTTTCAATATTACGAAAGGTAACATAAATTATGGAAATGAACTTCTTGACTGCCTGGAATAGTTGCTAAGTATTTTTAAATTGTTATGAAGAAAATTGAATTTAATAATAAGCTTGAAAGCTGAAAAAATATATAGATCCAAAAATATAAGAAAAAATATAACATATTTTTATTTATTTATTTATTTATTCATAAGCAAGCCGTAATCTATAATAATAGATATTATTTCAGGCTCTTGTCAAGCTTATTCATAGTTAATATTAAAAGGATAGTAATTTTATAATAATCATAGTAGCTGCACGAATTTCGCTTCTGAAAAAAAGAGCTGAAAAAAAAACATTCGAACATTAAATACAGTGTTAATCATCAAGTTCATCATATTAAAGTCTATTTGACCACCAGTCAATCTCAAAATTCTTGCACAAGGTTGAAAGTTATACTCATTTAAAATCGTAAAAATTTTAAATTAATAAAATAGCAATAAAAAAAATATACATAGATAAAGGATAAGGATTATGCAAGAAAATAGTTATTGAAATCAAATTGAGAAAATTCAGTAATGGCATAAAAAGTTAATTCTTTAAAAAGTTTAACTAGGGAAGCATGAAATTTTTTGCTGTCTAAGTTTCGGATATTGAGTGGAAGTTATATATATAACCAAATAATGAAGTTCCTTCCTAGTCAGTAATTTTGATTTGAAACAAATTTAACAGATTTTTATTGCATTCTTAAATTCAAATCGGTTGATCCATGCGCCCGAAAACATGAACGAAAAATTGTATCCATACATATATACGCACACACATACACACACACGTCCATTTTTTCTGAGGTATGACAAATATTCAGAAACCTTAAAAACGTGAAGAAATGTAAAAATTATCAATTTCGATTTTTGGACGAATACAATAACTTACCCTGCGGGAAGTTAAAAATATGAAAAAACCTTAATGAAAAATACCTGCAAGTTTAGAGATGTAGTGTTATATTGAAAAAGAAGTAACACAATGTGCTATAGACTTTGGCAAAATGAGAAACCACAGGAAACTGCAAGCCGGAGTATCAAGTAGAAGTTCGGCTAGTAAAAAGTGAACCGTAAACAAAGAAGAAAAAAAGGTAAAAATAATAATTCTAATAACATATCATCATCATCTCTAACCAGCATCACGATTAATGGAACCCTATATCTTTACACCTTTTTCTAAATCAGTCTAATACCTATCCCTCCTCTCTTGTGTCCCCCCAGTGTCACGTACTGGTGGGGGCCGCAGCCGCCGCCGAGCGTGGGTGCTCCTCTCATCTCTCGGTCACTTCAGTTCAAGTTTAACGTTAGGCCGGTAAGGTTGCCGTCGTGAATAAATGGGGAAAACCTAATTTGTGTTAAAACTAAAAATAATTGATTGGTGAAGATATATTGATTGGTTTGAATTGAGGGTTTTTGGATTTGTGGACGTTTGAGAGTGTTCGTTTTTTGTTGGACAGAGTGGTGGTAAAGGACATGTGGATGATTATTTAGATGACAGGTAATTGTTAAAAAATATTGAATTATATATATATATATATATGTATATATACCATAAAAATAATAATAAATTCTAGAGAGTCAATTACTTGTTTTGCAAACAGTGCGGCCTACAGAACTCTTTCAATATAAACAATGTAATTCTTAAGTATAACACACAATTGCGACTTTTTATAAGTTTTTGTTAGAAGAGTTATGAGTTTTATTATTTGTTGTTATAACTATTGGGACAGGTATTAGCACTTTGAGGATATATTAATATTGCAAAATTGTAACACAAACATTTTGTACAGCGCATTAAAAATGCCATCTCCACTCACATGGGTAGGGTACAATTTGATCTAATGTTTTATAACTCAAAATTTTGTGAGAAAAGCTATCAATGTTAGTAATTATAACAATAATAGGTACTTTAATGTATGACAAATTCACAAAACAAGACAATAGTGTAGTGTATATTGTGTCCTTTGGAGCTCTTGAAATTTGTCATATGTCAGTATTGTTTGCATACATTTAGATATGTATTCATCTTGATAAAATCTATATAACTCAAAACTTTGTTAAAAAACCTATCAGTTTTATTATCCGTAGTTATAGTAGATACTTAAACGTTAATATATCCAAATTGCAAGCTTGTAGAACAATCGGTGCATTTTGTAGAGCTAATTAAAATGGCTTTTTAAATTTTGTGCTATATTCATCCATTGGCGTTGAGCACAATTTGATAAAATCTCTTATACCACAAAATTTAGCAAGAACCTACCAGTTCTAATATTTGTTACTATAACAAACATTTTGAGGTAAGACTCACTCAAATTGCAGGGTTTAGTACAAACTTTTTATACTGTAAAGCTCATCCAGAACATCATCACAGAATAGCCTGATATCCACTTATAAATTGTGATTGAATCTCTTGTGACCCCATCAATTTTAGTATTTGCTATCATCATAGTCACTTTGAAAAACCATATATTCAATAGTCAATTTTGTAGTATAAACGATGTGACCATACCAGGATAAGATCTATTTCTATCTTGTAAGAAGTAATCAATTGCAATGCAATTGTAATTTTTTTATGCAAAAACCTTTTTTTTCTCCACGATCTTCTCTTCCAAGTTATTTTATAACGAGGTCGTCCACGGTCACAATCTGTGACAGTAGAATAGAAGAAGAATGTACAACTAGGTTGATGCTGATGATGTTACATGCATATTTGAATCATATTCCACAAAAAATATTGCAGGATAAAAAACATCAGATGATAATTATGGATGTTGATTAACCCCAAATCTGGTTCTAGATTTAATTCAGGAGTTGTGCATAAAATTCAGTTGCCTTCTACTAACCTCATCCTGATATTTGTTGCTCAATTTGGATTTTTTATACAGATCATTCCAGTTTGAAATTTTTTAGCCTAGAATAAAACAAGTGTTCCGAATTGTATTTTTTAGAACGGGTCAATTCCAAAAAACCGGTAATGTCTGTGTGAAATCATGACCATAAAAAAAGCAAACAAGTAAAACAAACGACTAAAAGTAGATGGAACGAATAGCAAAAGTAGAATATCGGAGCAAAGATCGGTATTTGTAAATATTAAATCAAGGAAGGTTTAACACTTTTCCTTTATCTATACACTACTAGTTTTTTACGTAAATTCCGCATTCAGAATAATATTTGGAGCACATTTGTTTCCGATGCGTGATACTGTACATAGTCGAGTACAATGGAAAAGCGCTGGACCATATTATTTTAAATTCCATGGACATGGAATTATTCACACACATACATAGACAAACACACACAAATTTGAAAAAATACATTAAAACATATACTGTTAGTGTAATAATATAAAAGTGTCGTTATCATGAACAGTAAACTGTATACACAAAAATTGATGAGAATAGTATAACTCAAAATTTTGAGAAAAGTCGCTTGAATTTTATTACTTGTTTCTGTAACAGACAAATTGAAGAATGGTATCAGAATAACCCGATTCTTCTTTTTAACAAATTAAATAATAATTTTAATTATGTATGGAACACAATTAGCAAAAAAAACTTTATAAATCAACCTTCTCTTCAGAAAATTATTCAATTTTAGAATTTGCAGTTATGGGAAATACTTTGAAGATTGCATTGTCCGAATTTCAATATTGTAATACAAGCGATGCGTCCTGTACAGCTCCTGGAAATTAATTATCTGGAACATATTTCATCCATTAAATACACGGTCAATATTTTGATAAAATCTTTATAATTAAAAACCTATAAGTTTGACTATTAGTGGTTTTAAACTACTCTTTGAGAAATGGTATATTTAATTTTCAAGCTGTTAGTACAAATGAGAATTCCTACAATGCTCTTTGGAAAATCCTACTCATACTGTGTTGATTTATTTGTACCAAAACAATAAAGAAAATCTATATATCGCATTGCTTCACAACTATTTTGAAAATTGGGTGTTTTCATATAAAAGTGTCTATTATAACGAAAAATAATTAAATTTACAAGTCTTTTATTAAAACTTTGAGTTATATAAGAATTTTCAAAACTATGCACATGGTTATGCTACACGTGCAATGGATTTTGTTAAAAAATCAGTATGTTGATGGACATAAGTATGCTTTCAATAAGCTCAGCAGGACGCACTACTTGTATAGGTGTAAAATTTCTAAAATTGGATTTTCCTGAAAATTGATATAATCAAATATGGGTTTTCTCATAAATTCTGCTTCTATCCTGAAATATTTCTTGTACGGAGCCTTTTGCCAAGCGATTATATTTCTTACACCTTAATGTGCAAAAAATTGTATTTCCATAACAATATTCTCGCAATAATGTTAATAATTTATTATGAATAATGCGAACATCTATTTTTCTCGCGCAAAGCAAAAGCTTTCACAATTAATTATCGATGCACAACGGTGGCGCGACCTTGTTGTTGTTTTAGAAATTTGTTGTTTTCATCGTTGTGGAAAATTGATTCGATTATAAATTAAATGTAATCTAGTTTAAATAAAATAGATTATTGGATATTATTACAACTATTTATGGGAATTTTATCCGTCGAAGAAAAGACGTGACTGCTTTGACCTAAAACAAAACTGCGACGAAAAAACTCAATTTTTGCTATTTTTTGTTCATTTTGTTCATTATATCATTTTAAAGAAAAATTTATTCAATTTTAACCGACGGGCAAATAAAACTCAATATTCTTAGACAAAATTACGTTATTGAAGTTTTACATTGGCAAAATAAGCAATTTAAATGGTTTATTGCTTTTGTCCATACTCTATGTTTAAGGGCTAATAAAATTTGTATGTAATTTTTTAAATAATTTTAATCACTCCATTTTTTACCAAATTTTATCTGGATTTTATTTCTCTACTACCTAAATTAGTCGCTTGTGAAAATAGTGAGACCACCTTCTGACTCAATTAGTTACATTTGAAAACCTGAAAAATGGCGCAAAACAATTTCATTGCCCAAATAGTGAGACTTTCAGTTACAAATTTGGCAGCAACAATAGATACTTTTTTAATCAAATTTCATATCAAGACACTAACTGGAAACATGTATTTCTGTCGTTAAAAAACTTACATTAATAATGAAAAAAAGGTTTCCCGTTCAGAATAAAAATTTAAACTACTTAATGAGCTCAAGAAAATATTTTTTATCATCAATCAGCAATAATTTACAAAAACAATTGCGTGCCAGTAATTGGGTCATAAAATATAAATAATTGTTTCGCTAATTTAATTATTGCTCTTATGCAAAAAACTGGGTTAAATAATACAAAACAAGTGCACAATATTAAAGCAAATATAATTACAAAAAACTGAATTAATAACATCTACCTAAATTAAATCGTGTTTACATCATAGTGCAAAATATGGCTGATATACTTTTTCAAAGAGCTTTACAGGATGTACTGTTTTTACTATGATTTTGTAATTTGAACATCTTATTCCTTAAATATTCTATTATGATAATAAAAAATAAAATCATAAGGGTTTCGACAAAAGTTAGAGTTATAAATTTTTTATCAGTGGTAAAAAAGTGGTATGGGTTGATTTACCATTGACAAATTGGAATGCAATTCTACTGACAAGCAAAATGCAATAAGAGTACAAAATTATTCATATGTATATATATATATATATATATATATATATATATATTATAATTTTAGAAATCGCGTTCTAAAGCTCACTTTACGATGAGAATATTTTTATTTTATTTATGTTTCCATTCAAGTCAAATATATAATTATATTGCGTGTACCATTGAAAGTGATCGCGTTATGTGAAATTATTTAAAAAATTTTAAACATAAACAAAACGATTATAACATCATAACACGCTAGAAAATATTATAACAATAATTAATTATAGTAATTAAAGGCGAATACTTAATAATAAATTCAACCATGGATAATAATAATAATAAGAATATAAGACCAAACTTGATTTCTTATGATCTCTAAGACTCTATTGACGGACTCTACTAAATTTCAAATTGTGAATGAATCTGGTAAAATCTTTCATTCTAAGAACACACTGGAGATCAGAGACACGGATACAAAATACAAAACACACAGTAAAGTTCATATTAGTATTCAATTTTTACGGATCGTATGGACAAGTATAAAAGTCAATAGAATTAGTCCTTATAATATAGTTATTATTTCTATTATTTTAGATTGCATGTCAGTAGATTTGTTTTCGAATATTGGTCAGAGATTTAAAAGAATTTTACTCTCTACGAATTAGAGATAATAATAATAAATGGTAGTCAGCCCGAAGGCAAGTCCATGGTGTGAGAGCTCTTTGTGGTCGTCCATTCCCATTGCCACTATTACCCGTGTAAGTCGTCAATCGTCTGCATTCTTCTTCTTCCCATTCCTTTCAGTCCTTTTATTTTACCCTCGACGACGTCGTGCTGGAGGCACTCTTTTTGCAGAAGGTGTCCGATCCAGTTTTTTTTTTTCTTTCAGGATTGT